ATACCAGTGTTATACCACCAGTACTACTCCACTATACCAGTGTTATACCACCAGTACTACTCCACTATACCAGTGTTATACCACCAGTTCTACTCCACTATACCAGTGTTATACCACCAGTACTACTCAACTATACCAGTGTTATACCACCAGTACTACTCTACTATACCAGTGTTATACCACAACTACAACTCTATTACACCAATGTTATACCACCACTACACCATTATAGCAGTGTTATACCACCAAAACACCACCATTATACCAGTATTATACCACCAATCCACCACCATTATACCAGTGTTATACCACCACAACACCACTATTATACCAGTGTTATACCACTACGCCACCATTATACCAATGTTATACTACCACTACACCACCATTATACCAGTGTTATACCACCAAAACACCAAAATTATACCAGTGTTATACCACCACAACACCACCATTATACCAGTGTTATACCACCACTATACCAGTATACCAGTGTTATACCACTACTACACCACTATACCACCAGTACACCACCATTATACCAGTGTTACATCACCAGTACTACACCATTATACCAGTGTTATACCAACACTACACCGCTATACCAGTGTTATACCACTACTACACCACCATTATAACAGTGTTATACCACAGCTACACCACCATTATACCAGTGCTATACCACCACTACACCACCATTACTGTATACCAGTATTATACCAACTCTACACTATTATACCAGTGTTATACTACCACTATCCCATTATACCAGTGTTATACCACCATTATACCATTATACCAGTGTTGTACCACCACTACACCAGTGTTATACCACTATATCACCATTATACCAGTGTTATACCACCAGTGCACCACCATTATACCAGTGTTATACCACCAGTACACCACCATTATACCAGTGTTATACCAGTGCACCACCATTATACCAGTGTTATACCACCAGTACACCACCATTATACCAGTGTTATGCCAGTACATCACCATTATACCAGTGTTATACCACCAGTACACCACCATTATACCAGTGTTATACCACCAGTACACCACCATTATACCAGTGTTATACCACCAGTACACCACCATTATACCAGTGTTATACCACCAGTACACCACCATTATACCAGTGTTATACCAGTGCACCACCATTATACCAGTGTTATACCACCAGTACACCACCATTATACCAGTGTTATGCCAGTACATCACCATTATACCAGTGTTATACCACCAGTACACCACCATTATACCAGTGTTATACCACCAGTACACCACCATTATACCAGTGTTATACCACCAGTACACCACCATTATACCAGTGTTATACCAGTACATTACCATTATACCAGTGTTATACCACCAGTACACCACCATTATACCAGTGTTGTACCACCACTACACCACCATTATACCAGTGTTATACCACTACATCACCATTATACCAGTGTTATACCACCAGTGCACCACCGTTATACCAGTTTTATACCACCAGTACACCACCATTATACCAGTGTTATGCCGCTACGTCACCATTATACCAGTGTTGTACCACCAGTACACCACCATTATACCAGTGTTATACCACCAGTACACCACCATTATACCAGTGTTATACCACCAGTACACCACCATTATACCAGTGTTATGCCAGTACATCACCATTATACCAGTGTTATACCACCAGTACACCACCATTATACCAGTGTTATACCACCAGTACACCACCATTATACCAGTGTTATACCACCAGTACACCACCATTATACCAGTGTTGTACTACCACTTCATCACCATTATACCAGTGTTGTACCACCACTACATCACCATTATACCAGTGTTGTACCATCAATGCTACATCATTTTACCAGTACATTACCATTACCTCTGGTTTTACATTATCACTACAATGACACACTAGTGTTGTAAGTTACAGTAATAATGATGGAGTGGTGGAGTTACTGAATTGATGGTGATGGTGTAGTGGTTATGTTATAGTAGTGAGGGTACAGTGATGGTGCATGACGACCACCACAGTGTGTGACCTACTGCCTGGTGCAGGACGACGACCACCACCACAGTGTGTGACCTACTGCCTGGTGCAGGACGACGACCACCACCACAGTGTGTGACCTACTGCCTGGTGGACAGGGGTGACGCCTCACGACCACCACCACAGTGTGTGACCTACTGCCTGGTACTACTGCCTGAGGACGACGACCACCACCACAGTGTGTGACCCACTGCCTGGTACAGGACGACCACCACCACAGTGTGTGACCTACTGCCCGGTACAGGACGACCACCACCACCACAGTGTGTGACCTACTGCCTGGTACAGGACGCACCACCACCACAGTGTGTGACCTACTGCCTTGTGCAGGACGACCACCACCACCACAGTGTGTGACCTACTGCCTGGTGCAGGACGACGACCACCACCACAGTGTGACTTACTGCCTGGTACAGGACGACCACCACCACAGTGTGTGACCCACTGCCTGGTGCAGGACGACGACCACCACCACAGTGTGTGACCTACTGCCTGGTGCAGGACGACCACCACCACAGTGTGACCTACTGCCTGGCAGGACGACCACCACCACCGTGTGTGACCTACTGCCTGGTACAGGACGACCACCACCACCGTGTGTCCTACTGCCTGGTACAGGACGACCACCAGCACAGTGTGTGACTTACTGCCTAGTACAGGACGACCACCACCACAGTGTGTGACCTACTGCCTGGTGCAGGACGACGACCACCACCATGTACAGCCTTGTACAGGACTACCACCACCACCACCGTGTGTGACCTACTTCCTGGTACAGGACGACCACCACCACAGTGTATGACCTACTGCCTGGTGCAGGACGACCACCACCACAGTGTGTGACCTACTGCCTGGTGCAGGACGACGACCACCACCACAGTGTGTGACCTACTGCCTGGTGCAGGACGACGACCACCACAGTGTGTGACCTACTACCTGGTGCAGGACGACGACCACCACCACCGTGTGTGACCTACTTCCTGGTACAGGACGACCACCACCACAGTGTATGACCTACTGCAGGACGACCACCACCACAGTGTGTGACCTACTGCAGGACGACCACCACAGTGTGTGACGTGGTCAGCGGGTATGGGTGTACGTGTATACCGTGTCTGTAGTTTTGTTTGATTAGTTTTTGGTTGGTAGAAAAAACATCCAATTTACTAATGCAGTACAAGAATAAATTAATAGCTAAATTCACACATTTTTCACAAGTATTAAATAATACTAGATACAGCATTCAGTAGCAGATTAGTGAGTTTTGAGCTTGACCTCATTTTAACTTTACAGTTTTCCCCTTTATCATTGTTAATCTTGGGATGGGGTGCATTTTTGGTAGATTAGAAGAAACCTTTTCCTCCAACCATTGTGCAACTTTTTATGATCTATGGATAGAAACAATCAAAATGAATTTTTCGCCAGTGTTCTAAGTAAATTTAGTGTTAGTCACAGACTCCCACAAGGACCTAAAGAGTGACGTCATCGGAGTCGAAAAAGTATATTAAATCCATAAAGGCTTGGTGACTCATTAAGGACAGTGCGCGTACAGTTCACTGTATACTAACCATTCAGTACACGAGGAGGCTGAGTACATATAAGTACATGTAAGATATCCATTCATAGCTGGGTGAACTGAAGATGCCCTGGAGGCAAACCAGCGACCTTTATGGTAAGAGGCTAGCCTTTGTCCACTTGACTGAGGGCCTCGCCTCTTCGTCAACAATATCAAACAAAGCTCACAGTATTTAAAAGGTGGGTGAAGATGCTTCATTATAATCAAAGGTGAAATTTTTTCTACTAATTCATATACTGAATTTTTTTATAGAAATTTACAAATATTGTAGAAATTTGTAATAACGTGTATTGTAAATGCAGAAAAAATTATACCAACACCTGTGTGAGCTGAGCACTAACTACCCGTCCCATCCTTGTTTCCTGGTCACCCCCCCCATGCGAGATTCGGGTGTTGCCAAGAGATCTTTTAGGTTTATTTTGTGTAAAACAAATGGTATGAAAAGTTAATAAAATAGTTAACCTAATTTATTTATCACATTTCAATACTTGCTTATAAAAATATTTCTTATGAGAAAACGTGATATTAAGATTCCCGATAAATTCTCTGAGTTTTATGTGTGAAATAATCGCCTCAATTATATACATATTTTGTGACGGTAAGACAATTCATTAGTATCAGACTTGATACTTATGGCGTCACTTAAAAAGAGACTCTCTTCACAGTTAATTGGCTAAGTGGATGGGTAAGTTAGTATTCAAAACATTGCCAGTCTTTTCCACATTAATGTTCGGTGACGTTATGACCGTTGTGTCGAAATCAGAAAATACTTTGCCTTTGGAGTTGATCTTAAACCATCAAGCACACCACTATCATTATTATTATTACTACAATCACCACCATATACTGATGCCACTACCATAACTAAAATTACTACTACTCTTTACGCAACTACTCTTTGCTACCACTCCCCTCAGTGGTCACCACTGACCTAATATTAAAGACACTCAATATTCTGTCAGTGACAGCCACACATGAGAGCTTCTAAAGCGTAATCATAAGCGTCAATCCTCTGCCTCTTGCACCATCATCATTATCGTGTCATTGACTTGCTTCTTGAATGCCCATGACCATTACTGCCACAATCCAATCGTCACCACCACAATAACTGCAGTCGCCACTACTACTTTCTACTGCTCTACCACCCCTGCCACCTTTATATCTACCACCAGTCCTACTGTAGCCACCACTGTCACCACCGGATGTGGGAAGATAGAGATTGCGTGATGCAAGATACGTGACATCTAAAACGGGAGAGCCTTGCTCTATTGGTCAACAGAGAAAGAGGGAGGCGGAGGGAAGTGTGGTGGGGAGGGTCTGCCGGTGAGCCGCTCTGGTAGTCTAGCAAGAGTGAGTGTGTGGTGAGCGACACATGCTGGTGCTCCCTCTCAGGCCAGACGTGGACGGCTGGTCCTTTAGTGTCCTGAAGCCTCTTGGAGTTGTAATTGTTGCGCCAAGATGATGGCACAGCTTCTGGCTCTTTTCTCCGGAGGAGGGGGGGGAGGAGAGTAAGTATAGCAGAAACAGGTAGAATATTTACGCGTTTTATGTGGCTTGGCGAATAGGTGGTGTTAGTGGCAAGAACGGAGTACTGAATAGGAGGGAGGGATGACTCGCCATAAGTAATCGACCCAGAAGTCAATACAGTGTGGAACAAGAGCCCTCCCTAGAGGGAATGACTTACCCCCCTACGCCTTGTCTTGATTCTCACGTTCTATCTAACCTGTTCTACCTGTGACACGCCACCCAGGAAGAACATATAAATTGAATGTAATCTGAAATTGAATGGATGAACATGTGGAACACAATGTGATGATTGTGTGTGTGTGTGTGTGTGTGTGTGTGTGTGAGAGAGAAAGAGATGTCCTCGCGTGAGCATTTATATGAACAAGGTCTTACATAATACTCTATATAAGAGAGGTGTACAGTACGCTGTGGCGTTCTCGAAGAGGGTATCTGAAGGTGTAGGAGGTGTGTTAATTGCTAGCCGACGCATCAGTACTCTATTTTCATTTAACGATCTATTTTTTTGATCGAGTGTTATTTCATAGGCAACAATATTGAACAACACTTATCTGGGTTGTCTGAGGCAGGGTTTATTTCAGTCGTGTAGAAGTAGATCGAACTAGCTCCACCATTGATTAAATTGCACTATAATCAAATGATTATATTGTCGTCTTAGAATATTGTATGACATAAGCAAATATAAAAATGAATGGTTATGGTGTTTCCTGTGAATTGGAGGCCAGCTGACTAGTGTGACAGGCGGATGCTGCGAGTCTGTAGCAGCAAGGTGAGCACCAACATGCGGAGTGGTGGCGTGCAAGTATCATTGACATTGTGATGCTCGCTCGCACATACTATACATATTCAATCGTGTAGCGTTGTCAACACTCCCTTAAGTGTGAATAATCTATTTGATTATTAGTCTTCAAATGTGATAGTCCACTCACTATTCCCTTTTCTATAACGATGGACTACAGATAACAGTACTTTATTTCCATAGAACAACATTATGTTAACATTAATCTCGTGAATACGATATTATTTCGTCAACTGTTAGTGGAATATAGTTACAGATTCTCGCTCTTTATCGTCAGGTTTAATATAACTATAGTTTTACAACTTTTTAAATAAGAAAAAGTAAGGTTGTCACCACACCCCTGGGCTCCGGCGACCTTTACCAAATATCTGCAGGCTGACTCATTCTGGTGGCTGTTACGAGCCAGCCATGATTCTCTAACAATCTAACGTTAACTTTTCCCGGCAAATTGGTGTGAAAACGTCTGTAACATAGTTCATAAACAAACTTCCCTGGCACTTGTCAGGAGTAAAGTAACATTCAAGTTATAGAAAACTAGATAATAGTGAGGCGGGCGTGAACACAAGTGTTACTATCACCCTGCACATCAGTTTACCAACTATCACCCTGCACATAAGTGTTACTATCACCCTGCACATCAGTGAAACTATCACCCTGCACATCAGGGTTAACAACTATCACCCTGCACATCAGTATTACCAACTACCACCCTGCACATCAGGGTTACCAACTATCGCCCTGCACATCAGTGTTACCAACTATCACCCAACACATCAGTGTTACCAACTATCACCCTGCACATCAATGTTAACAACTATCACTTTACACATCAGTGTTACCAACTATCACCCTGCACATCAGTGTTAACAACTATCACCCTGCACACCAGAGTTACGAACTATCACCCTGAACTTCAGTCTTAACAACTATCGCCCTGCACTTCAGTGTTACCAACTATCACCCTGCATATCATGGTTACCAACTATCACCCTGAACATCAGTGTTACCAACTATCACCCTGCATATCAGGGTTACCAACTATCACCCTGCACATCAGTGTCATCAACACATAAAATGAATCTTATGTTGACTTTCATCACAATATATAAAATTTCTTATTGTTAATGGTGCATTGTTAGTCACCGGTAATAAGAAAACGCTCTCAACTAATTTAGGCTTCTTGATCTCTGTTGAATTTATTGTCGACCTTGTTGGCAATAATGTTGTCTTCGTTAAATTATTACACACCAGATCAGGTAAAGTATAGATAGTCCCAGAGCGCGTAAGTCGCTGTATGATATCAAATGCAGAGTAATTTGTGGGTGAACGAGGTAATAAGTTCAACGCAGAAATATGTGATAAATGTGTCACATTATCACGCGACCAAATGGAAAATTTAATTGTGAGTTAATATACTACTGTACGAACTGGAGGTCAACCTAATCTTTGGTCAGGTTATCAGAAATCGATGGTCACGTACACGACAACAGTCCACTCACCTTTAACCTTTACAACATCGCACTCTTTTACATGTTAAACTACACTGAACAAATGCAAGAAAGAAACTAAAGGTATATAGATATAGCATATGGCACCCCTAGATATGAATTCGTTTCAGGTTTCGAAATTACCGCCAACACAACAACACTACACCCACATCCTGAGTAAGTGAGGTGCATAACTCGGTGCCAAGATAAAAAAAGAAGACCGGAAGGTGCGCACCGTGCGTCCACTACCCAGACTGTCGAAACTCGATCTGCCATTAACACTAAGTCCCCAATGACTGCTGGATAGAAAGACATGACGGAGAGAAGTTTGCCCATAGTTTTACTCTGCTCGCTGACAATATTACGTTTATACGTTGTAGTTAATTTTAGTTTGGCGAACATATATTGTTACTTCTCTGTAAGTCTGTACACGTCTGTAGATCCCTGTCACTCCGTACATATCATCATTGATTTCTGTTCAATAACTCGAAAACATTAATACGAATCACTACTAAATTCTTAATGGAGTTTGATATTTATAAAACCTTGGTCAATTTTGCTATTGGCAGGTGTCAGTCGGTTCGTTAGAGGACTTGCGGACCTGGATGGATCAAGAAGTTCTATAATTAGTGAACCTAACACTAATCTCAACCTGGTTCTTCTGGAATTTATTATTCATAAACGTTAGTTCAAGGTCATATTGACACCTGCCAGGCCATCTTAAAAATATTTTGGACACTTGACATAGAAAAAGCTCTTGTGTTTGCATTTTAACTCAAATACTATTGTTTTTCAAGTCGCAGAATATACGAAAGGAATTCATCTCTCACTATTAGACAAACCTTTCACAAGTAGTACCCTGTAACTTACCGTATTAATTCCGTGCGTGTCTACGATTCACGATTTCTATGTTCTATGAAAATATGTACATAATTGTAAACGCAGATTATACCAGGCAGGACATTTATCACCTTCACTTGTTTTTTTGTAAGTTTCTAGTTATTTTTTTTAGAAACCAAACGCAATATTACCCGACACCTCTTCGTCCTGCTTTCATTTTCAGCCCGGAGGTTTTTGCCATTAGTGTCTTCTTATTTGTGTAAGAGTGTAATATATACATATATTTGTGAAATTGATCTAGATACAACTTTGTGTTTAATTCTGCATATCACTGAGGGAACTGCCAAGAGCGAAGTTCATTTTTTTTTTATAATTGGACCAAGGCCAAAGTTAAGATCAAGGTAATAGTGAAAGATCAGAGGAATGTCTCCAAACGTGTCCCTTTTTAGAGTAAATCAATAATTTATTGAGCTGGTGAACTTCAGAAGGACGGACGGGGAAGGGGGGTATATGCTCTGTATTTCAGTTTCCAAAAAGAAGAAAACGAAGAGAGAAATTGGACATTTAAATATGCGTGAGTACGGTCTAAGCTGAAAAACGAAGAAGAGTGTTGGGGAAAATTAAGGGACATAAAGTCTGGATGATTAAAATGATAAAAGGTGTGTGGTTACCTGATGGGATATAAGGAAGTCAACCCCAGTAGGCTGTGGATCAGGTGCAACAGATGGGTTATTGTGGGTGTTGATGTCCCTAGAAAGAAGAAAGGGGGAGGGGGAAGAGGTTCATGAATGGATGGCAAGGAAATGAATGTGATTATGAGTAAATCTTTAATGCCTTGAATAACTGAATATGATAAAAGAAATAAAACGTTAAAAATGCTAAGAGAAAATTCTCAGGAGATTTATTAATAAGCGTACTTCACAAAATTGATTATCGGTCAAGCTTCATAGACTGTTTTTTTAGCCTGTAACGCATTAGATTATCGGCTAATCTTATCTATCAATCAAATTAAAAGATTTATCTATCAGTCTATGTTCTATAGATTTATCAATCAGCTTACTTCAGTCTTCTTCATCGATCTGAATTCCTAGGCCTCTCTACCAATCTTAGCTTCATAACCCATTAATCTTACAGTTTGCTTCATGTGTTTTTATGTTGGTGTGATCGCCATATCTGGTCTATCAACCTGCTTGAATGTCATTCTGAACTTCATTACCTAATATATCAGTCTTTGTTTCTGATGTTTTTCTATCCGGCTGTGTTGAAAAATAAAATTCTGTATAATTAACTTAACGAGACGGAAGAATTTGTTTTTTTAGTATAACATTTATTGACAAAGTTTGGAGTACAGTTTGTCTATTCTGAGTAATTCAGTCAGGTCTTGACACTGAGGGTGGTATCACTTCTCACTGCCACGCAGGACAGAGGTTCATACACAGGAGGAATAGATCATATTCATTAACAGCATATATAGGTCAGATTTATGTGGGTTGATGTCGCTGTTCACTGCCATGCAAGACAGAAGTTCGTAAACAAAGAAATGCATCATATTCATTAGCAGTATATATAGGTCAGAGTTATGTGGGTGATGTCACTGTTCACTGCCATGCAAGATATTGGTTCACATACATTGAACGTCATATTGTAATTGAAGACTAATCAGTGTGGGCTAGCAAATTTTGGATAAACAGCAAGAATGTCCTCAAGCACCCCTGATTCAATGTAGTAATTACAAAGTTCATGATGCAGTAAGCCAGGTGGCCTGAAGTCTTTGACTGTGTCACATTCAATAATATAGTGTTCAAGTGTATGCTTTAAAGGTTTATCACAAAGTTTACATGCTGAGTGTTCGGGTATG